CTGGTGGGGGGCCCCCGCCCACTGTCCCCCGCCCCCCCCCAGCAGACCAGAGACACGGGGAGCAAAGCCGCAGCGGCGGGGTGCCTCGCCTCTGAGGCTTTGCTCTGGCGCGGGACCCGCTTTGCTTGCGGTGCCCCTGGTCTGCTGGAGACGGTCCCCAGCCGACCAGGGGCACCGGGAGCAGCTTTTCTTGCCCCGGAGGTCAAGGTGGTGGGACCACTGCCTGCGAGCTCCGGGGCGAGAACCCCCGTTTGTAAGTGCGAATCCAACGTAAGTCGGATCCGCGTAAGTCGGGGACTGCCTGTATATTCACACACACACAAACACTCTCTCTCTTCTAAGAGTGACATGATCTTAATTTTAACAATTAGAAAAAAGGTTTATAATCAAATGTCCTCTAACTCTACTAGGAAGCAGAACATCTAGCAATGAGAGCAAGACAGAGTTGGCAGTGCTAGGAAGCTCAATATTCTAAGAGCTGTAAGACACACTTGGTAATGCAGGACACCTGGATTCTATTCCTGGTTCTGGGAATGGGATTTAGTTGTTAGAGCAGGATGGCTGGGGGCAAGGACTCTGGGGCTATGTCTACGCTACAGGATTTTCGAGTAAAAACCCACAGAGCATCCACACCTCAAGTGCATTTCTGCACAAGTAAATTTACAGTAAATCAAAAGAACAGAGGGGTTTTTGCAGTGTAGGTAGTCCTCTTTCTATGAGAAATAACTCCTTTCTGCGCAAGAGTTCTTGTGTGTGGACAGGCAACAGGGGGTTTTTGTGGACAAAGAGCCTACCGAAAAAAGCACAGGTACTCCGGTGGCTATTCTGTGAATAGCAATCAGAGCTATCTTTCAAGAGTGTCCATGCAGTCTGGATGCTCTCTTGCACAAAAGCGCATTGCTTTTGCGATGCACTTTTGTAGTGTGGACACGCTCTTGCACAAGTTTTTGCAGCTCTCTTCCGCAAAAAGCTTCCTGCACAAGAAGCCTGCAGTGTAGACATAGCCCTGGGGTTCTATGCTTACCTCTGGGAGAGTGTGGGCTGGTGGCTAGGCATGGAATATGGGGGGCACATGGGCTATCTCTTTGATAGACACCCAGGGGGCTTCCATCAACCAGGCTGACTAAGCATCTTGCATAAGCACCCGTGATAAAAACGTCTCTCCCTGGTAACAATGTCCTGGGCATGAGGCGCACAAGTATACCCAGCACTTGGGAGCTGCCAGTAAGGCCTTTTACTGGCCCTTAGGTCTGGACTACACTAAGGCTACGTCTACACTACAAGTTTTCTCTGCAAAAAATATGCTAATGAGGGACTCATTTGCATGAGTTGCGATCTCATTTGCTTATGTTCTACCTATCTGTTTTTGCGCAAAAACAAGCAGTGTGGACATTTTCTTTTTGTGCAAAAACCCTTTTTCCGAAAGATCCTTATGCCCCCAAAAAGGAAGTATACCGATCTTGTGAAAAACCAGGTTTTTGCACAAAAAGAAAATGTCCACACTGCTTGTTTTTGCGCAAAAACAGATAGGTAGAACATAAGCAAATGAGATCGCAACTCATGCAAATGAGTCCCTCATTAGCATTTTTTTGCCGAGAAAACTCGTAATGTAGACATAGCCTAAGAGTTTAGGTTGAACTTAGTCATGTTAGGTCAACATTCTAAACAGTGAGCCCTCACCACCAAACCTGTTCTGTTGAACGTCAAGGGAAGTTAAAGGCAGTTTTTCTCCTGCTTTTCAAGAGAAGTAACGATAAATTCAACCTTGCATGGTCAGATTTAGGGTTGTACAGATGCAGCACTGTGAAAGGCAACATTCTTGGCCTCTATGTGTCGTCCCACAATTCCCCAAGTGACCACTGTGGCCAGGACTTTCAACTCTGCTGCTCTCCAGGTGCACAGGGAAAGCCCTGGGAAAATTTGAATTTCCTGTGTGACCAGTATGGTGAGCAGACCTCAGAGTTGTCAGGCCACCTCAGCAGCACACCTGACTATGAATGCCTAGGATCACAAATGAGGACCAGCATGGAGCATGCAGGAGATCCTGGACCTCATTGCTATGTGGGGAGAGGAATCTGTTCAGGCACAACAATGAAGCAGCAAAAGAAATGCAGATATCTCTGCCAAGATCACACAGGGCACAGTAGAGAAAGAATATACAAGGAATGCCCAGCAGTGCCATGTGAAAATAAAGGGCTCAAGCAGGCAGAAGAGAAAGGAGGCAAACGGACGGTCTGGGTCAGTGCCACAAATATGCCACTTCTATCAGCAGTTGCATGAGATTGTAGGGCGAGGCCCAACCAGTTTTCAAAGCCAGTCCATGGATTCCCCTAAGACACTCCTCCACGCTGCTGAACTGGGTGAATGAAGTTCTGGCTTCTGTTATGCAGGTCAGAATAGGTGATGTCACAGAATATTCTGGCCTTAAAAAAAAAAAATCTATGAATCCATGGCAGTGATATCCTTTGCCCACTCTCCTGTTTAGAAATTTAAGACACAAGCTTAAGAACCTTGCTGAACTAGAGCCTAACAACAAATGGGAAAAACAGAACAATGAAATAAACACCATTACCTTAACAGTTTTTCCTGGAGAACTGAATAGTAAATCAGAAGCACACCCAGCATCTAATCTCATGGCATCTGTATCAGTAACAAATAAAACAGCTTAAAATGAGAAAGCTGTGTAAAAATGTTTATTTACTAATGGTTTTTTTAATACAGTACCTTAAAAAATTACACACCTTGGCTCCACTTAAAGTGAGGAGGAAAGGGGAATAAAGGAATCTTAACAGCAGCAAAATATTCCCACTTGTTTTTTACTCTGTAAATTAAAAAACCAAACCCAAAATATACTTCTGAAACTTTGTGATTTAACTAGGTTATTGAAATGGAAAAACACAAGTCCACTATTCTCAACACAATCAGCTATTAATGCGTTTGCGTGTGTGCGTGTGTGTGGGAGTGGGGGAGGCAGCTTGCTAAGTCAGAGCAAAAAGCTGTGAAAGTCAGTCAAAGACAAAAACTAACTAAGCAGCAGGCGGCTTTCCCTGCTCAGAACTATTTGACATTTCTCCTCCAAGGGGGGGGTGAAGCAGCATTATAAAGAGTAGAGGAAATCAAGCTGCTCCCCCACTCCATCCCCTGAAAAACATTACAAGGTGAAAGCACAGAAACTAGCTATCTAATACTCTCCATTCCAACCCTAACGTGCTTCCTTATGGGAAATCAATGTAACTGGGGACACATCTGACCTGAGCGTTGAATTCCTGTTGCAAGGAGAGCTACATACAAATGTAAGTAAAATAACTGACCCCAAAGTGACAATATAGAGAGGTTTAACAAGCCATTTTGGTGATTTTGGGGGTAGGTGGGATAAGACACACATGTGATACTTTGCAGGGGATTATGGTCCGTCCAAGACAAGACACTCAGGGCCCTACAGTGCAGGCAAGAGCTACTGGGGAACAGCCAGTTTCAGTTAGGGCAACAGCTCCCCAGTTAAACAAGCAAGGAAGATTTGCTTAGTGACCGAGCCCCATTCATTAGAAGGCTCCGGATGAAATCAGAGGCAAAGCAGTCTTCTGCCTCTCCCTGCATTGAATCCCCACCCATTTCAGCTTGGACAGTCATTCTTAAGAGTGGATAAGATAATGAAATGGGCAAAGCTATGCTTCCCTTTCCAGGTGGCTTCCAACCACAGCTGAGTGGGATACAGGATTCCAAACAAATGCAGACAGGTCACTGTTGTGCAAGTGCGGAGGAAGTTCGGTCTTTTATTTAATGATTTCCATCTGAAGTTAGTGCTCAGAATTGGTCTGGACTGACAGTCTACTTTTAGCCACATGAGACATCATGGCAAGCATCCTCATTGTGCCACCATGTCCCTGAACCTGGCGTTTTTGTATTTTACTGGATTGAGACCCACCACACTCATTTAATATGGGCCACCAAATCACCACTGGCTGGTAATGGCTTCTGATTGCTACCAGCATGGGCTGGATTTGAACCAGTGACCTAGCAGTGAACGAGAATGTCCCCCTTCACCAACCCGAGCCATCCAGCCCCTTTTGTACAGGCGAAGTGTGTTTTTTTTTTCTTTTTTAAATGCGTTTCTAGTGAGTGAGGAAGAACGTAAAAAGGGATTTTGGAGGTAGGTTTGAAGTCGAGTTAGAAAAAACAGGCACATTATTTAACAGAACCCTTGTGTGTCACCTTTCTGAAGATGCTTCATCCTATACTAGAGCTGTACAACAAAAAACGTCCCATGCACCTTGACCCCGCTACTGAAAACAGCGATGCAAGGAGAGCTTTAAAAGGTCACCAGCGGGTTCCGAGTCACATGATTAGATGAGATTCCTGCAGAGCAGAAACAAAAATTGCGAGGAGGGGGATCCTTATTTTCCAAGGGAGCGAGCTGGGAGGAGAAAACAATTGGCTTAACTGGCTTCTCTTCCTCCATCGGCGAGCGGAGCAAGGTCCTGAAACAAGCCAGCTTAACCTTTAGGAACACACCACAGCAGGGGGAGATGGGTCCCTGCTGGCATGCATTCATACCCATTGGCTGGAACAGGCACTCCCATGTCTTGGGCATGCAGCTCCCTTGCATAGGCACATTAACTGGAGTGGCAAAGGAATCTGCAAATCAAAAGACTAGTCCATCCACACCTTGTTCCTGGAAACACAGTGGCCTCTGCTTGATAACCTTAGTCCCAAACCGTCACCCTCCTATCAGGGGCATGGTGCTGTCATTGCTACAGCATGGGAGGATTTAAGCCACTTGCAGGGGTGGCAATCAACTAGCTACTGTATGAGACTGTAAGAGTCCACAATGAAAGCCCCAACTGTAGTTTCATAACGATATGAAAATCTACAACATCTCCAAAAGCTGGGACCATAGGCTTTGTAGGTTAAAAAAAATAGGCAACACACCATTAAGATGCTTGAGTGCAGGGGATGTACATGGGAAGGGGCAACTTACACATCTGAACTATGTTAAGGCAGCAGTGAAGAATCTTAAGGACCACCCCTTTCTCCTCTCTAGAAGGAAGTCTGAAAAGGAGGCAGGGGCAGACCTTTTCCAAAATAACCTAGGGTGACATTTTAAACCCTGTGTGACCATTAGAACCTGAAACTGTGAGTGTAGTTTTACAGGGCAGGTGTAAACACACCATCAAGCTCAGACACTGCAGGGTCTATGGGTTTGACTGATCTCAGTCAGACCAGTCACTTCACATTTAAACTGGTGTGACTCAGGTGGAAATCAAAGGCCTTTGCTACACTGGGATATTGATCCAGACGATACCATACCCTCATCCACACACTGAATCCCTTCCAATCGGTGCTGGAATCTATTCTCTAGCAGGTGGTGTTGAAAGCTCTGTGGTCTTGTGACCTATACCAGTTGAACTGCTTTCAACTTGTGGAAGGAGGAGGAGGAAATCAGTGATCAATGCCCTCCTATTAACCAGGGATATGCTTCCTGTCTACACTAGGAAAAATGTGTTCACTTAAACCCAGTAATTAGGGAAAGCAGAGAAGGAGGATTTGGGATACGAAGAATGTCTGGAGCCACTTCCCTTTACCTGACGAGTTGATTTTTCTCAGACAAACTTGTATTATAAGAGCGTGGATGACAGGAGCTCTGGAGGTGGCTGCTAACTTGGTAACACTGAATGGCAAAACAGACTCAGGGATAGGAGCCATTTAAGCAAGGATGTAAGACCCCTTTTCTTCTATGGGGTTTCTTTCTGCACTGCAGAGTCCAAGAGACACCTTCGCCAGCATGAATAAGGCAATTCTCTCTCCTACATAGAGAAGAGAATCCTGTTTGTTGCATGTCATTTGCATGTTGGGACCGGTTTTGCCTTCAGTGAGGGTCAAGCATTGGTTCATGCTATATATGTTTGGAGCAGCGTCTAGACAGAGGCAGAAATGCAGCAACAACCAAAGGAGAGCCTTGCGTACAAGACTTCATCTAGGATAGCAGGGGAAGCAGATCCACTTCTAACCCCAGGCCAGGACGGATCTTCTGGTAACAGGCAGAATCCAATCTGCTTTGTAAAGGAGAGAAATTGAACAAAAAGGAACTCAAAGAAACACAGGAAAAGTTAAACCATAAAAAGAGAGAGAGAGAAAGTAACAGAGCCCTGTATGTAATGAATGACTGGAGGTTACTCTGTTGAGCCACGCTTTGCCCTCCAATCTAAAACTGGATCAAGAGGAGTTCTGGTTCTGGTAGATCGAGGCTTTCTCCTTCAGCAAATCCAGACACAAGTGACAGCTCCAGCTCCCTGCAAGAAGAGATGAAGACTCAGTAACTAGGCTTTCCCAGAATGCGTCGTGAACTGCACGTGTGAGGGGGCGATTTGCCTGCTGCTGAAATGTTGTGGCCAGCTCTAGGGTGGAACACAGTAGCTGTTTAACAGGACAACAGAGGAATGTTAGAACAGATTAACAAGCAAGCTGGTGGCTATTTAGGTGCCAAACTGGGGTTTATTTCTGGCTCTGCCACTGGACTACTGTGTGATCTTGGGCAAGTTACTTCCCCTCTTTGTACCACTAATTCACCTCCCAGCCTTTGTTTATTTAGAATAGCAAGTGCTTTGAGTCAGGAACTGCCTCACTATGGGTTTGTCCATGCAGTGTCCTTGGCGCCCCAGGACTGGGAGCATCCTGCCGCCAGAAACGGCAGCAGCCCCAACCCTGGGGCAGGATCCTGCTTTGTTGGTTAACTGGTTGAATGTTAGGTTAACCTAACATTTAACCTGTTAATTGATTAATCAGGATTTGACATTCCTAATGTTAACATACTACTACTAACAATGCACATGCAATAACAGGCCTCAATCGCACTGGAGCCCTCAACCATTACCACCATATTATTGGCTGAGTTTGCAAGGCATTACCATAATACTACCAATAGTGCACATGCTGTAACAGAGCCCAAAACTCTGCTGGGGCATCCTAGGAACTACTGTCATACAAATAAATGACTTGGAAGAGAGTGAGCTGGAAACAGAGAGATCAGAAATTTGGTCCCTTTCCAACTAGCAGTAAATATGAAGGAGGCATTAGCCCTTTAAGCCCTCCCACTCCCTAGTGGGCCCTTTAGATGCAAAAGTGGATGAGGTTTGTGCAGGTTACTAGACAGTACTGCTTTCCTCTTACAATCCTTGCCCAATTCCCCCACATGTCCACAAGATTCATGCCCTTGCTCCTGGAACATAGCCCAGCAGTTGTTAATCCAGAACTATGTGCTATCAGTATGCTAGAAAACAAAACCCCTTCCAATCTTCAGCTAGCCCTCCATCTAGATAATATTAAGTGAAAGACGTAAAAGATTATTTAAAATTAACACGAGTAAATCTAGGTCAGAGATTGCTTCTGCCTGCTCAAAAGTTACAAGTGTGCTTTGAAACCATGAATCAGCACATTATGTGAGGAAAGGTGGGGCTGCTGGAAAATATGGACTCTGCCACTTTTCTCTTGGGTTTGCTACCAATGCAGAAACATTTCCATGTTTGGCAGGATGCTATTCCTAGGCTTCCTTCCTCAGGATGCCTAGTGACATTCCCACCACATCCCAGGTGGCATAGAGACAGTTATGATTTAGTATTAGGAAGATCTACTTGCAAGGGCACTGCCCGGAAAAGATATATCTGACTACTTTGACAGCAGGGAGAGCCACAAGCCTCATCTCATCTGAACCCCTGTATGACACATGCCGAAGAATTTCATGGGTTCTGCTGTAAACAGAAACTTTTCTGATCAATTTCAACCAGAGCTGCACCTGCTTCCTCCGAGGCTGAATGTATTATTGGCCCTTGTATCCATAGCCTCTTTTTAAAAAAATCAATAATGGATTTTTAAATCAGATATGCTCCAACTAAAACATCAACTAATTCAGGATAGTGCTATGGTCTTTAATATACACAAGATCAGACGAACTGATCATAGTGGTTCCTTCTGGTATTAGAATCTGACAAAAACACAAGGCAAGTTATGGAGAAGCAGAGTATTTGTATAGCACCTGCCATAATGGGGTTCTGTCCCAGGACTGGGCCACCAAGGGGCTACCAACTATATGAATAAATAAAGTTGCATCCTAACCCTACACATGGCACAGTGTTTCCTTCATCACAAGATCCTACTGCACACCACTTGGCACATTTATCAGTTTTAAGAGGCACCCAGGGCTGCTGGTGCAAGTTAGGACTGTGGCTCATTGGGTGGAGGGGGGGAGAACTCCCAGCAGAAGGATCTGTGGGTTCAGGTCATAGCGGAACAGCAGAGCTACATGTGTCGAGGAATTCAGAGCCAGAATAGCAAGGGATGCTATGCGCCAAGTTTGAGAAACACTGGCAGAGCGCTGGATGGAGCGGGAAGCCAGGCCCAGAATCATAGAGGTGTTATAAGGGATTCAGAGCTGCGTGGGAGAAAGTTGCGCATTTCCTGCTCATGCCATGGCATGCTGCAACCTAATGCTACAACTCACTAGTGCTTAGAACCAAAACTATACAAAGCTATCAGAGTTCTACAGAGACAGACATACAGATGAAAAGTGGGCCAAGGAGGACTACAATTACCTTCAGGTGGTTCTGACATCGGTGGAGTTAGACAGTACATGTGATACCCACGATCACAATCGTCACAAAAGAGCAGCTGGTCCTAAGCAGAAGGGGGAGGAAAATAAAGAAAAATTTGGATGATTCAACAAAGCTCCACAAAGGGGCTCTATTTACAAGTCACTGCATGATTCTGCCACCCCAAACAACAACAGAGAGTGCTTTAATAAAATGCAAGTCTGAACAACCCCTCAGGGTCTTCACCAAGGACTGGACCTACCATGTTTTGACACATTTAAACCACAGGAGTAACCCATGGGGCCTGCCACGGACAGGGACACTCCAGTTGGGCTGTAGCAGCCCCTGCCTGCAGTGGAAGAACCTCTCCAGCCCAGCCATGACGGGCAGGAGGACCCAGCCAGGCTGGAGAGGCCTCCCCACCCACCAGCCCTTTAATCAGTTAACAGAATAAACACAATGTTTAACCAGTTAACCAATTAACGGGGATATTACATCCCTATTGCCACTGAAGATGCCCATGTAGTACTTGCAGGGCTGAATCAAGACACACTCCCATGCCTAGAGTCTTAGAAGCATGTTAAAAGGTCAGGATTTCCGTTTTCAATTTTCTACCCTTTGGAACAAGGAAACAAATTCTGACAGTGTGGCCTGAATGTAACTGATGCAGAGACATTGCCCTGAGTCCTCAGAGCCTAAGACATTAGCTCTGAAAGGATGGAGCATTTCACTGGTGACTAATGTTGTGACCTCCGCCTGAGTCTACAGAGAGCAGATTAATTACTCAGAGTAGAGGTGCCACACATTTAACCAAACACAGCCTGTCTTCATCAGTAAAAATCCTTGGGTAATGAGAGAAGCATCCACCAGAACCAATGAGGAAGCCACACAACCCAAATGGATCCCCACTCCCCACCCCAGCTTGGGGGAGAGAGCAATGAGATGGTATGCCTAGAGCAGGGGTGGGGAATCTCTTTTGGGTAGGGAGCCACTGACCAACAGAAAATCAGTCAGGGGCTGCACACAAATGAGAAACCATCCCCCTCCCCATCCCGCCAATTCTCACTCATGTGGGCCCCAACTGAGAGGGAGAAAGTCACTCCCCACATTCTCCTTGCATACCAAAGCCTAGGGGGGCCCAGCCCAGTAGATTTTGTATGCGCCAGCCCAACAGTGGTGGGGCTGGAGCACCAGAGCATGCTCCCCAGTGATGGGGGGGGGGAGAGGCCCTAAGCAGTGTTCCCTCTAAACTGTGGGGCAGCACAGCTTCACAGGTGATTAATTAACCCCACCCAGTCAGCCAGTCCTGAGCCTCTGACCGGGCAGGGCTGATGAACGGCCTGTGAAGCTGTGCTGCCCGGCAGCTTAGAGGGAACACTGGCCCTGAGCCTCAGGGGGCCAGATCCAGGGACCACATCCAGACCCTGGCCTACGGTCTCAAGGGCTCCAGCGCAGAGTTCACCCTCCCTGAGAGCCTACCTTGGACATTATCCATAAATCCCACCTTTCAGCTAGTCGCCATTCTGAATTTAAACTCCCACAGTTAATTTCCATTCCAAAGATTATTCTCATCTCTCTGCCAAAACCATGCAAGCTGCTGCTCTCACTATGTAGCATGGCGAAATGTAGGCGGATAATGTTTGGGACACAGATGCCATGCACCCCTTGTGCAGCTTGCTGTTCCCCTCTAAGTCCCTGTTTGCAGCTGTGGATGCCCAAAGCATCAAGCCTGCTCTGCCTTGGTTGATCCCCCGCAGCACTGAAGGATACTCACATCATTCTCTGAAGTGCCACAGATGTTGCAGCACTTACATTCGATGCACTGCCAACGGTATGTCTTCACTGCTGCCATCATAACCGGGGTGAACTGGAGGCACGAAGGATGCCCTGCCAAGAGGGATGAAACAAAGCCACACATGGATATTGGGCACATCTGGCCTGGACAAGAGGCAAGAGCTCAGAGAGGAGAAATGGAAATGAAGACCAAACATAGGAAGGCAGGAAGATACAGAGGCTGTTTCCAGATAGCAGCAACAGCAGTGGTGATGGCTCTTGCCCCCAGAGAAAGGGAAACAAAGAGGGAGCAGTGCTAGACAAGGAAGGAAGAAGAAATATACAGAGAGGCTGCTCCAGACAGCAGCAAAGGAGATGGCTCTCCAGCTAACAGGAGAGCAGGACAAAGAAGCAGACAAATGGGGATGCTGAAGCACAGAGGGAAAGTGACATGCTCATGGTCACATCAGCAGCAGAGCCAAGAGCTGAAGCCAGGAGTCCTGTCTTCCAGTCTCCCACTGCTCTAATCACTAAAGACAATTCTCATTCTACATCTATATCAAAAAAAGATACACTGGCATTAGAAAAGGTTCAGAGAAGGGCAACTAAAATGATTAGGGGTTTGGAACGGGCCCCATATGAGGAGAGATTAAAGAGACTGGTACTTTTCAGCTTGGAAAAGAGGAGACTAAGGGGGAATATGATAGAGGTCTATAACATCATGAGTGGTGTGGAGAAAGTGAACAAGGAAAAGTTATTTACTTGTTCCCATAATATAAGAACTAGGGGCCACCAAATGAAACTAATGGGAGGCAGGTTTAAAACAAGTAAAAAGAAGTTCTTCTTCATACAGCGCATAGTCAATCTGTGGAACTCCTTGCCTGAGGAGGCTGTGAAGGCTAGGACTATAACAGGGTTTAAAAGATAAATTCATGGAAGTTAAGTCCATAAATGTCTATTAGCCAGTATGGGTAAGGAATGGTGTCCCTAGCCTCTGTTTGTCAGAGGGTGGAGATGGATGGCAGGAGAGAGATCTCTTGATCATTACCTGTTTGATTCACTCCCTCTGGAGCGCATGGCATTGGCCACTGATGGCAGACAGGGTAGTGGGCTGGATGGACCTTTGGTCTGACCCAGTATGGCCATTCTTATGTACAACTGGATATAAAACCTAGAGGCCTTGAATCCCATGCCTTCTCCTGCTCTAACCCATTAGACCCCTTATTCCCTCCCGAGTCGGGAACATAACCTAGGAGCATTGACTCAGCAGTCCCCAGGTTCTTCCTTCACTTAACTTAGGTGGGACAAAAAAAGAGACTGAACTGCAGAAATGTTCCTTGCTCTTGGCAAGAGACATCAACTTCTCGTCATGGATGACTGCAGCCACCACTTGGGACAACTAAGGGAGCACCCAGCATAAAGAACCACCCCAACTCAGTGAAGTGAAGCAGTAGTAGCAACAGCTCATGCTGGAGCATGTGCATCCAACCTCTTGAATGCAGGTATTGCAAAATCCAAGTACCTGATCGGCCGCAGTCTGAACAGGACACCAGCTCCTCTGGGTGTCCGGTCTTCTTATTGATTTTTGAGTCTCCCAAACAGAAGTCACAGTAATTGTTGGGCAAAGCCAAGCCATCAGGACCTTTCTTGGCTGTTTAGAAAAGAGACCAACCCACCAAACAGACAAAAAGTTATTTAGAGTGAGCAATAGCCCCCTGGAGAACATACAATGAGATTCCCACAAGGATTTTGGCCCATGTAAGCTTACAGATGCAGCAGAGAAGTTCAGGCTGTAGCAGAGGTACCGACTTCTAGAGTCGCATGGATACAAAATTTATCTCCACGGATGTGGACTGCTGCAAATATAAAGTGGATACCTGCAAAGTTGAGGGACTCTAGCAACAATGAGCAAGACCAGCAGGGCCACAGCCAGCAACCAGGCCAGAAATGGCAGTGGCAAAAACAACAGCATGTTGGGCTGCCACTCACAGGAGCCAGTGTCCAGCCTCGCAGTGTCTGCATTGCCCCCAGCCCTGCTCCCTCGGATGTGACCAGGTTCATCAACAGCTGTTCCTGATGGTGTGAAAAAGTGGCTCCTGCACTCCTGGAAGAAGAGTAGGGTACATAACCTGTCCATGTGCATGCAAGCCACTTGCACACACTAGCTTTTGCCACAGGTCTTGTTCATTGTTGCTGGAGCCCCGCAACTCCGTGGCTATCTGCTCTATACTAGTGGACATACATTTTGTATCCACACAGGACTATACTCACTTCTGCACACAGGACTATACTCACTATACTCACTTTTATTTGAGACTCTCAAAGTACTTGAGAAACACAAAGCTTCACAATTGTGCATGTGAGGAAGGTAACTGTTCTTTCACCTGCCTTACACGAAGGTAAACAGACAGAGTGGGGAAGGGATTCTTCTAACACATCTGGCTGCGGCAGTGATGGAAAAAGAATCCCAGAGTTGTGGTCTGGCTAATCTAACCACTATGCTAATTCCCCCTATCTACATTGATCCCAGGTGTCTCAGCTCCCTTCTCTAACCTACTATGACCCTAGAGCCAAGAATCCTGATTGAGCCCTTCTTGTTCTAGGCCTCTAGACCTCCCATCTTCCTCCTAGAAGTGGGGATTGGCCCCAAGCGTCCCCTTCATTGTCTTGGTTCCTACACCATTCCTCTCTGGCCCTACATCTACATATCTAAGACTACAGAAGAGCCAGGACACGCAGGGCACGGGGTCAGGTCAGTAGGCAAAAGGTCTTACACTTCTGCTCCTCGGATCTCTGAGAGACAGGCGTTGGGGGCTGTGAATCTTCCTTATCCTCCCCCTCCTCCTCAGCCAGATGGGAGTGAGCGTAGTGGTAACTAAGACCAGGGCGGTTCTTGTAACGCTTTCCACAGACTGCAAAAGAAAAAGGGGATGGGTCTGAGCTTCTGGCAGGCACGCAAGTAACACATCACTGCTTACCTGCAAATCCCCCGCTCCCTGAAACAGCCCTTCCCAAACCACCCTCCTCCCACAGACACAGCTATTAACAGTGTATATCGGTCAACATGGCTTCAGGAAGGTGCCTCATGAGCCAGCAAGCTCATGGCTTGGCCAGATCCTGAGAAGCCCAGACATTTCTCCCCTTGTAGACTTTAAGCCATAAATCCTTCCACTCCTCTCCCCACCCATCTCCTGCGTGCTTAGCAGATCTTCCAAGGGGATGGGAAAGCTTTGCCCAGAACAATCCAAGCCATGAATCATAAAAGGAAATTCCCATCTTCTCTTGGGTTTAAACCCTGAAATTCAGGCCTGAGGCACTCCCCACACCCCCATGGGTGGTATCTCCTGGAACACATGCTCTCTAAGATCAAGAGACACTGAAACCACGCTGAAAGAACCTTACACAAACCCCTGGAAAACAAACACCACACTCTCCCCAAACTCCCGTACACACTTCTGTTGCTTCTGCCTGCTTTGCTATCCCTAGAAGGCAGCTGCTTTACAGCCACTGGAACCAGAGAAAAAGCCTGTTCTCCATGCAATAAACAAACTTCCCTTGCAGGATTTGAAGTAGAGAGCACAAGGCCCCTGGACTCAGGAGCCACCTCCCTGGTCTGTGTTCCTTTCTTACATTTATCCCTGATGTTGTCTGGTGCCAGAATAGCAGCCTCAAAGACCAAAGCTCACAGAACAGGCACAACACAGGCATCAGCCACCCAAGTTTCTCCCACACTCTCTGGCCACAAGACGGACAGGACAAGTCCTACTGTGGAGGGACTTCCCCATGACTGTGGGATAGCAGATTGACACTTCAGTCTTCAGGGCACATCTACTGGCCTCTCAATGTTAATGAAGGCTTCTGAGAGACGGGCACCACTGGGAACTGCTCTGAGAACAACCTGACTCATTTCATGCACTCGCAATCACTGAGCAGTCAGATGGCAGCTGCTTTTGGTCACCAATAACCTAGGCTATAATCGCACTGGTGAGCCGGCAGTGAGATGTTCATATTCTGCCCCCCATTCTGGTGTCCATGACAGCAATTACATCCTGCTTAAAATACAGCTGGGGAGTGGGGACAAGGACAGACGACAGGTTCTCTGTTGCAATCTATTCCCTTTGTGCCATTAGAGTGAGAACCTGCTGCAAGCCCAGAGCTAGGGAAACCCAGAGCAGCCAAAATAGCTCTTATGCTTCCCTCTATGCAGTTCCAAGCACTGGAAGGGAAGAGAGGATGCACATGCATAAGGAGCACATCACACTCCAGCCATCAGCAGCTGGTACGTGGTTTTTCCAGGATCATGCCAAGCTTGTGCAAAGCAAAGCATTCCCCATAGCCTGCTTTCATTTGCTTTGAAGATGGGCCACAGCGGAAGATCTACTCTTGCATGCAACGATCCCTGACTTTGCCTGCTTGCTTTATCCTACTCCACTCAATGAGACAAAACACCCAATTCCCACTTATCAACGCAACCAAGCAGCTGAGGTAGAAGGGCAGTAAGTGAAATTTTCAGAAGAGCTTAAATCCTAATGAGCTTCAGTGAGACTTACTTCCCTATGCCCTGGTCTACACTAGGAGCTTATTTCGAAATAAGCGCCCGGAGGCTGAATTTATAAGCAGTGCATCCACACTACGAAGTCCATTATTTCGAAATAATGGGCCACAGAGTTCAAATTCTGTACTCCTGCTTTTCATGAGGAGCAATGCTAATTCCAAACTAGTAATTTCAAAATAAAGATAGTGTGGATGCTCTTGTGCCGCTAATTTGAACTTACTGGCCTTCAGCAGAGCTCCCACACCTCCCTAGAGTGCTACCTGGGGCTCTACATCCAAGGTAGCATGTCCACAATAATGGAGCCTGCCTTGGAATAATTTCAAGGCTTCCCTGTAGCAAGGGCAAGCTAGTTCAAATTTGTTAAATCGGGAGTTAAGTGAAATTTAGTCATTTTGAAACAGGCCATTTCTGCACTACGAAACTAAGACACTTTTGAATCAGGACTTAGGCCAGTGGTCACCAATCAGAAAACTGGGATCTACCAGTAGATCTTGGAGCCTCTGACAGGTTTGGCCAGGAAGCTATCAAGTGCTGGCACTTCAGCCACTGTCATGCTGCTCCTGCCCTCTGCCTTGGAGCTGCCTTTTGGGAACATCCTGCTTGCTGTGCAGGGTGTGGGAAGGAGGTGTCCCTCCTCCCCCCTACTCCTGTACCCTGTCTCCAGAGAGAGAAGGGGAAGGAAAGGAGCTTAGCAATGCAAATCTATCACTCACACACTGCGTGTGTCTGTCATTCTCACAAACACACTGACCTTCCCTCATCTCCTGAACCAACACGTACATGGGGGGGCCGTTACTACTTGCAAAGTGGGTTATTTTTAGTTTTTGACTGGTCTGTGCATTTCATCATTTTCATATCTTTCTTATGCTTAAATTTAATTCTTTGAGTAGCGAGTTCTAAAATGCCTAACCTGGCATGGCTGGAGTGATTAACTCTGTGGTAACTGTGCTCCTGGAAGTGGCTGGCATGTCCCTGCAGGCCCTGAGAAAGTCAAATCACGGGGTCTCCGCATACTGTTCTTGCCTGTGGACACAACTCCTGCAGCTCCCATTGATCAATAATGGAAAACCATGGCCAGCAGAGGCAGTGGGGTCAGTGCCTGTAGATAAGGGGCAGCACATGGATCCACTGCTGTACATGCCAGCTGCTTTCAGGAGTGGTGCAGGGCCAGAGCAGGAGTAAGCCTGCCTTTGGCTCCATTGCTCCATCCCTGGGGCAGCTGTCCAGCTGGTCCCAGGAGGGATGGGATCAAGCCCAACCCCCTGTACTCCCCAGGTGAATGCTGTATCCCCTGGGCAAGTCCAGCTCCCCTTATTCTTTGTTGGCTGTCTGGTCATGTGGAGGGGAGGCAAGACTCGAACCCACCACCCTGTGCTCCCCAAGCCAATGCCTTATCTCCTAAGCCACTCCAGAACCCACCTGACCTCCCTGCCTTCAGGGCATCCCTTATCCAAATTAGGAAGGCAGGAAGTCAGCACCATCCCCTGGGACAACTAGTGTTGGTTGCAAGGCTGCTGCCTGAGTGGGGATCGGGGAGGGGGAAGAGGAGATGGGAGGGGAGACTCGAGTCCACTCAAGTGCTCCAGACATTGATGCCATATCCCCTAGGCCACTCCAGAACCCACACCACCTCCTACCTTCGGCAGGTCCCTTATCCTGTTTTCCTAACGCGGGAGCCAGCTCCATACCTGGGGCAGCCTGTGTTGGCTGCCCAGCCTCTCCCACGGTGGGCGGGAGGGGGGACTCGAGCTCCCAACCCTGCGCTCCCCAGGCAAATGCCCTATCTCTTAGAGCACTCCAGAATCCACCCCACCTCCCTGCTTTCAGGGCCAAAACCAGAGCCTGCACCCCAACTCCCTACCCCAGCCTGGTGAAAGTGAATGAGGTTTGGGGAGGAAAGGGGATGGAGTGAGCAGGGTGATGCCTCGGAGAAGGGGTGGAGCAGGGGTGGAGCCGCAGAGAAGCGGGGGAAGGAAGCTGGGCAAGGGTATTTGGGTTTGAGGTAGATCTTACATTGCACTTTAATTGAAAAAGTGATCTTGTGGTTAAAAAGGTTGGAGACCACTGACTTAGGCACTGTCCCCAATATAAAGGCTTTGTCAGAGCAGCTCTAATAAAGCTATCCCAGCGAACCCACCCTAGACCATATCTACACTAGGGACTTGGACCTTCACAATAGCTGTGTCAGTCAACAATACAAAGAGGAGTGAACATTGACAGAGTTGTGCTGCCAGAAGTCCCTACTGTAATCGATTTTTCCAACACAGCTTGCTTTCTTCAGGGGGAGTCTGCATGTGCATGTTGGTTTTACTGTGCTGGCATCGTGCGGTCCACACACGGAGTGATTTGTCAGTGTGGCATGTGGACTGAAAACCCACCCAATTAATTTCAGATGCTGGCCTCCAAACCACAGTCGGAGGAGGACTGTTTTTGGTTACAATGACCCTGACTGGATTCGAACTGGTGGTAAGGGGTTCGGTATACTACCCCTAATCGGAGCCAGCTGGGGTGCATTACATCAAGCTACAGCAGCAGCCCCCATCCACAGGGAGCTTGGAACCCCCACGGACAGGGGACGTTTTGTGGCAGACTCCCCTGCCCCTCCCCCCTGCGCTGTCTCTGATACAAAAGCAACAGGGAGGGGAGAAATGCAAGCAGCTGAGAAAATTAACTAATAAGCCTACGCTACTCATCCACATCCCCAGCACAGAGTCATGAAATAAACTAGGGTGGTGGGCTTTTTTTGTTTTGTTTTTTGGTTTTTGTTTTTTGCTGGTATAATGCATTTACACTAAGGATTTTATTAGCACAGCTTGTTGGTTTAGGCTCCTAAATCATTTAGGTGGTTTGATAACTTTACTCAAAATCCTTATTACCCAAGATTGCTAGTGAGTGGGAATAGAGTCACGGCTGGATAACAAGGAGGAGGAAGGCAGGGAGAACAGAGGGAAAGTGATGAAGCTTAAACTGAGTCTCAGAGAAGGACAGATTAATTTGGGCTTGCCAAGATTTTCAATAAAGCAAAGATGGGGACAAGAGAAATCCCAAGCCTGTTAGTCATTTAACCAAAGACTCAGATCTAGCAAAAAAAGGGGAAAGACGAAAAAAAATCTAAAATCATTAAGTCAGTCAATTTATATAGCAATTGGAAAGCCTATTTGGCAAAGGGAATTACTGTTCTCTTAGGGTATGTCTAGACTATATGGCTCTGTCGACAGAGCCATGTAAACTAGTTTACCGGACATAGGCAATGAAGCGGGGATTTAAATAATCCCCGCTTCATTGCCTATGTCCGGTAAACTAGTTTACATGGCTCCATCGACAGAGCCATGTAAACTAGTTTACCGGACATAGGCAATGAAGCGGGGATTTAAATAATCCCCGCTTCATTGCCTATGTCCGGTAAACTAGTTTACATGGCTCCATCGACAGAGCCATGTAAACTAGTTTACCGGACATAGGCAATGAAGCGGGGATTTAAATAATCCCCGCTTCATTGCCTATGTCCGGTAAACTAGTTTACATGGCTCCATCGACAGAGCCATGTAGTCTAGACACATCCTTAGTGCCGTGTAAACGTAGTACAAGCCAGGCCTGGCTAGCTCCTCTAGCAGCACTGTTCTCTGGATACTTTTGCTGCAGCAGAGATCTTGTATGTACTGGCTTGGATGGAATGGAGTTGGACTCTGAGCAGTCATTGGGATAACGATGGCTTGTCTCTAATCCAGGTGATATATTATAGGTATTAAATAATAGTAATTTTAATGAGAAATAAAAATGTTTGTTCTTATGCAGCATATTTCCTCCAAAGACCCCAATGCACTGGACATCCACCACTTTATAGAAAAGCCAAGATCATACAGCGTCTCCAAGGTAGAGCCCAAAGCAAAACTCAGGAGTCCTTACTTCCACCCACCCTCTTATTTTAACCACTATACCCCACTCCTCTCCTGGAGCTAAGAAGCCCAACCTGCCCTCCCCCAATTCCAACCCACTAGACCACCACTCACCCCTCCTGCAGGTCAGACTAGAACCCTGACTCTCAGGCCCTAGCTGTAATCAGACCACTATGTTGCACCATAGAGAACAGAGGCAGCAGAGGACTAGCGATGAGGTGGCTGGGGAAGGGGAGAAGAGCCAACATGCTGGATTTCTCTTTACTACAGATGCCATGTAACAAATGATGGATGATCAGGCCCCATGTGAGGAGTTTAATGAGGCCACAGAAGTATGCGTTGTTGCAGAAAACTGCAGATACATAACTTTGCCAATCAAATATTTAACAGAGCCTGCAAATTCCAGAGACCTAGCCAATGCACTGGCTTGCCCAGCAGCCTTTTGAACCTGCTGTTGCATTAATATCTAATCCCAGCTGTGGAAGAAAAGGGAAGCAGTTAGAGTCGTGCAGGTGCAGCTGAAGCGAGATGGAGTAGCAGATTAACTAGGAGGCATAGGAGCCCAGTGAGTCAAAAAAGCCATCACAAGTCTGAGCCAAGAAACAGAAGAACAGCATAAGGAAAAACAATTTTGACTCTTATTACACCATCATTTACCACCTAGAATGTCACTGGTGTCCTTGCCAAGCCAGGAGCTAATGCTACAGCAGCCAACAAGGAATGGGTTTAAGCCATACCGCACCGCTTCAGAATTCTGAGGACAATGGTCGACAACACCCACTCCCCATGATGTCTATCATTCATTCAAGCATCTTGCAGTTTTAATGGACCCAACATCTCTATTTCCAAAAAGACATCTCCCATGGTAACCAAAACCCCGAGAATAAAGTCAGTTATGCTTCAGAGGAGGCCTCAGCCATTCCAGAGTGGGTTTGAATTCATCACATGAATTTAGTGTTGGCAAAAACGGACAGATTGACATCCCAAGACAGTGAGGCCTCTGTATCCACAGCACCAGTCAGGGCACTTCTCCCTGCACTGTGGGCAAGAGGTAAGATTTTCAGAAGCAATTAGCAATTTTGGGTGCCCTGTTTGAGACATCTCCGCGGGGCCTGATTTTCAGCAAGCGCATGGGCTCGCCCTCTGAAAAACAGTATGATGAGGGAGATTAATAAGTTTATGATCATGCTGACATGACATGAAATAGTAAGGACTCAATGAACCAGGAGAGGTCCTCCTTAGTGTCATGTTCTGCAAATTAGGTCTCTGTAATAAAGGCTCTAGGGTTGGGTTACCCAAGATTACCAGTCACATTTGAAAACCATGGCCAATGGGAAAGTTAAAACTCAGTCTCCCTGGCCTCTCTTGCAGTAGGAGAGCCAACCACTGCAAACTGGTGGTTTGCTCTGATTTTTCCTAATGCTCTGGATTGAGACCCCACTCCAAAGAATTTTTAAAACTAACATTCCAGGAGAACAAAGTCAGGAGGAAATAAAAAAAGCAGACAGAGAGAATGGACTACCTCGGTCGGGAGGTTTCAAGGTATGCTTTTGTTTGTAACTATCTGAAATACAGAAAGAGAATAATGAGAAAAAGGTGAACACACCATAGGTCACACACATGGCAAGCAACAGAGAGCAGAGTGATTTTAAAAGGAGAAAATAGAAAAAATATTGCTTCGTTTTTTTAAAAAAAGAGAGTAGCAATTCTACCAGGACAGTAAGTAGGAAGGAGAGAGAAAAGTAACCGTAAAAAGTCAGGCTTTTGTACATTCTTTTGCCAATTTAAAGTTCAGAACCATAGGAATAGCTGCTCCATTGCACTACTTGAGTTTTTCCAGTGGGATTCCCACTGACAGCAGGGAAAGAAACAACAGCACAGAATTCTGCAAGGGGCAGCACGGGACAAAGTCTTGAGGGACGTAGTGGCTGCTACCAAATCAGAAACAGACAGTAACGCACAACAGGATGTCATAGAAATCCCATTTGCTTGCCCTAGACACGCGCTTGACGTATTCATTCCCAGCAGGGCCAGAATGTCTTTCTGTTGCCAATAAAATTACTGAAATTTAATCCCATGAGAGCTAAATTAGCTCTCCCACACCACAAGTGTAGAATGAAACCCACGTTTTGTGGCCACAGCATGGACCAAAAGGTCTTTAGGACAACAATCAGCAAAGCAGCAACTATATCTCCAGTAGGACAGAACTGAACCCTGCCCTCCAGCTGCACTATGAGGTCTGAGAAGAGGGAGAGGACAAAGTAATTGGATTCCACAAACCCTGCAGCAAACAGATAGTTGAGTCATGTATTGAATAGCATAGGGAAGGGTGGGTTGGGCTATTCCAGGCCCATAAAACAGACAACCTAGAAATCAAAGACAGGAACCCTGGGTTAGTGGGAATGAGATCTCAGTGTTCATTCTCCCCACTACCCACACCCATATCTCAAGAAACAATTTTCAATCAGATTCAGAGACCGTGGCTGGATATTACTATGGAGCTCTGACAGCTCCTTGCAGCCAAACAGAAAAGTATTATGTTGGCACTGCAGCCAGATATGCCATTCACACCTGTGGTGCAGGCTGAAGTGTTGCAAGAACGCAAGCAGAGTGACTGGCTGTGTCAAGCCATCCAAGCATCTGCAATGGCCTTCTTGCTTAGTGAAGATTCTGCTAGAGTGGGAGAACCTGCCTGCAATGCCACATATCACAGGTATCCTTTCAAGAAAAACAAATTGGACTCTCCACACCCAGCAGAAACTACATCTCTGGATTAGGGCCACAGCTCCCAAGAAAAACAAACAATGGGGGAAGCTTACAAGTCCTCTGAATATTCTCAGATGCACCTCCATTTTGAACACTATTACACCCTGCAAAAATCCCATCCTGCCACCCAATGGATTGCAGAACATTACTCCCTTCATCCCTCACTCCACAAGCAAATACATTTAAGACAGCTTTGTTCCAGAGTGCAGACTACAGGGAGACAAACGCCCTTCATACTCACTGTCACAGGCATAAGGTTTATCTCTATCTTCTAATATGGCTGCATCCAGCTTCTTCCGAGCACCACTTACACCTTTACCCTGGGAACCAAAAAACATCACATCAGTGAAGTGCTGTAGCCAACACATTTGCTTCTGAAATTTGCTAATTTTTATGCCACCAAATTAGCTGAGTTTGTAAGGTATTAGTCAGAGAGGCTCCTGCCTCTGTGTAGCTAAACTAACAAATTAACCAACCTGCTTGAGTATAGTCAATCAAATAGTGCCCCTTAGTGGCCTTTGACTGAAATAATTCATAGATTTTAAGGCCAGAATGGACCATTAGATCCTCTAGTCCAGGGGTCGGCAAACCTTTCAGAAGTGGTGTGCTAAGATTTAATTTATTCACTTCTATTTATGGATCTGCGTGACACTGATACTTTTTAAACTCAACAATAGTCTTACATTTTAGCAGCTTCATTAATAAAATGCATTAAGATGCAGATCTTACATTACTTCAGTCTTTATGGACATTTAATTTTTGTTCTCTCTCCTGAGACTGTCAAAAAAGTGGCTGTGTTGTATATTCTCTGTGATATGGACTCTTGTGTGTCTCAGACACAACTTGACTCATTTCACTTAAGCCACCAAATTTACATGACTACTTATGAGGGTTGGATTTCACTCTGTGGTCCAGCAGCCACCCCATCCCAGCCACCAGCCAGCACAGGCTCAAGGAAACTTTGGAAGCCAGAAAGGTCTGCCAGATTGGCTGGGGAGGAGGGGGAGAGGGGAGACCATCAAAGCTGAACTGCAAACCACTAAGCAGGGTTCGTGTGTTGTAGGTATTCCTCACTTGTTGTCCCCCACACCCCACTGTCTCTTGGGCTAGGGGCTGAGGTGATTCAGTGCACCTGGGCAACCTGGGTTGAGGACCCAATCTCAGCAGCTAGGGAAGATCAGAGACTCCTAAGCAGGTTAGGCTCCATGCACAGAAGCTGAATGCTCAGAGGTACCCCTGAGCCAGGAGCAGGCTGGAGCCGGGCGGGGGTGCGGTAGCAGCCACGGGGAAAAGGAGGGCTTGCTTTCAAGTGCTGTTTTCCTGCTTCAGAGGGCAGAGGTGGTGCTGCTTTCCAGCCCCTCTGCCACCTTCGCCTGGGAGTCCCATCCCCACCTCCTCCAGCCCACCGCCCTCACAACCCTAAATCTGCAGCCTTCTCTCCTGGCCCCTAGAGCTGGTGCTGCATCCTCGCACCAACTGAGAGACTCCAGTGGTGGCTCAGACTCCCTGCTGCGTGGGAGGAAAGATGGGGGGTGAACTCCCGCCTCAAATCATGCACATGCCACTCAAACAGCTCACGTGCCACTTATGCCATAGGTTGCCAACCTCTGATCTAGTCTGACCTGTCTAACAGAGGCTGGAGAAATCTGATCAATTACGCAAGCCATTGGGCTCAACAGCGGTTTGACTAAAGCATCTTCCAGAAAGGCATCCAGTCTGAATTTGCAGACCCCAAGTATCCCCCACTTCTGAGAGAGATTGTTCAATGGCTAAATCCTTTCACTTTGAAAAATGGGTGCCTTATTTCTAATGTGAATTTGTCTGGTTTTAATTTCTGCCATTGATTCTTGTTTTGCCTTTCTCCAGTATGTTAAAAGATCCCTTTAGTAAGCTAGGATTTCTCCTTTTAGAGGGCTCATGCACCTTAATCAATTCACTTCTTAATTTTTTTTTATAAGCTTCACAGACCTTTCAAGGTACATCTACACTGCATGTGCGTACCTCTTTAGAGCAGTGGTTCCCAACCTTTTTTATGCTGAGGACCAGCAAACCCATTCACAAAGTTTTTGGCAAACAATGAATATGCAAATAAAATGTTACCTGACCACCTATCCCCAATCCAGCCCCTTGTTCCCCAGTGCCTAACACTCTTTGACCCCCATTCCTATGCCCCATGCCCTTTGACCTCTGACCTCTACAGGCCATGCCAACACCCTTTTGCCCCATGACCCCACCAGCCCTCACCCAACACCCCTTAGCCTCCACCCCACCCCCACAATCCCCAGAGCGAGGCGGCTCCCCTAGGGAGCATTGGCGGCGCATGCTCCCTCCTTTGCTCCCGCTCCCTCCCAAAGACCCCCATTCCTATGCCCCATGCCCTTTGACCTCTGACCTCTACAGGCCATGCCAACACCCTTTTGCCCCATGACCCCACCAGCCCTCACCCAACACCCCTTAGCCTCCACCCCACCCCCACAATCCCCAGAGCGAGGCGGCTCCCCTAGGGAGCATTGGCGGCGCATGCTCCCTCCTTTGCTCCCGCTCCCTCCCAAAGTGCATTTTGCATCCCCATAGGAGGGAAGCATGGAGCCCTGTCTGGGCTGCCATTACCGAAGCGGCGGGGAGGGGGGGAGGGGGGTCC